ATTTACATGAAAACCCCCCAGCAGGAACAGTTTCGGTAAGGCCCTATAAAATCAACTCTGCAAAAGCAAGCAGAGGGCAAACGTTCTGGGGTCACTCACATCTCAATCAGGAACAGAGAATTCCTGGCTTTTTTTTTAAGCCTTGTTCCCTGCCCCCTGAAGAAGCCTGTGTCCTCTCTAGAGTGAGTTCCTTCTGTTTTTCCTCTTTCTCCCTTTCCCTCCCTCTCCCTCCATATTTATTTAATAAAACCATTTATTTCACCTTGTGTCCTCCTAATTTTTTTCCTGTAAGAATATACAAGGAACCTGGGAAAACTGGGCAGAGATCAGGGTGATTTTCCCATTCCCTTTCTCCAACTTGAGGTCACGGGGCTCCCCCAAACTTCAAGTAGTAGGGAGCAAACTCCCATGTTCTGTAGATCAAGAAGAACTCAGGTGCAGTTTCACAGCAGCTTTGTCAGTGCTTGCTCCTGTCCTACCTCCTCCAGGCTTCCTACTTCTCCCAATCATCATTTGGGGAGCCATTGAAAATACAGACTTCGTGATTTTTTCAGATTTCAAGAGATTTTCTTGGTGTCATCTGGAAAGGAAAAGGAAGATGACCAAAAGCAGAGAGGGAAAGTCTTAAGCATGTGAGCTGAGTCTGATCTCTACAAAACCGAGATGGAAGAAGGACTGAGCAACAAGAGCCTCATCCTGCTTGGCCACACAGTTCTTGGGAAAATATGGTAGGTCAGTGGAGCGTTTACGAGCATAACTTTCTCAGTGGAAAAGGTCTATATGCATCAAAAATGGAATGGTGCTACTACTACTTTTAAGTGTTCACATACTGGCTGGCAAGAGTACCGAGTCAACTGTGTCTCAAAACTAAGGTTCTGTCATGAAACCCAAAGTCCCTATGCACCTCACAATAAGTTCTGAAGATTTGTATAGCCAGTCTCCTTAACTGCTATAAGGGTTACATAATTTACATAATTAAACTCAGAATAATAAAGTATAAATGGTTAGCTTCTATCCCTAGTTACCAGGACAAAGATACTACAACCCCTGGAATGTCAAGTGATAAGCAATGCCTTATGTGCTGATGAGATGATTCAACTCTTGAGAGGGAAAGAGCCCTAAATAACTTCAGGATGTGAGCGGTTTGCTAGGAAAACATGTGAATAGATATTTAAAATTTTCAGGTCCCACCCTCTGAACTTTAGCCCCTACTCCACTACCTCCTGCCTATGAGGGACAGGGAGAGCTAAGAATTAAGCACATTCACTAATGACTATTGATTTGATCAACTGTGCCTATGTGATGAAGTTAAAGAAAATCTTGAAGTTTTGGGAAAATGCCAGGCTGGTGAACACATGACAGTGCTTGTAAGGTAGGCCACCCTGAGAGGTGGGGTAGCTCTGCTGACCCACAAATCCTTATTATCTTCCTCTACATATCTCTTTCATTTGAGTTGTAGCCTTTTAAAAATCAAACTGTACTTGTAGTAGTAGCTTCTGTGAGTTCTATGAGTCAGTCTAGAGATTTATCAAGCTTGAGGGAGGGAAGGTCAAGAAAACCTCCAAATCTGCAGTCAGTTAGACAGAAATCTGGGTACCCTGGGAATTCCATTTGTTTCGAGGGTCAGAAATATGGGCAGCCTTGTGAGACTGAGCCCTTAAATTGTGGGGTCGGCACCAACTCCGGGCAGTGTCAGAACTAAATTGAATGGCAGTTAGTTGGTGTTGGAATGATGTATGTGATGTCAGAAAAAACATACAGCTCCTAATTATTCTGTAGATTGCAGCTTAAAGACTGCTTCTTGGGAAAGCTTTTTTTTTTGTTCCCAAGACTAGCTTAGGCACTAGCTTTCCTTTATAATACCTATAGTTATTCATGTAATTATTTGATATACCTATGCCATCAGACCACATTTCATAATGGGCTCCCTTTTGTTGAGTGGTTCATATTTGTTCCTATGTTTTTAATTAAACATTCGGAATGAGGCATTACAGTCTGTTGTGAGGATTTGAATAGTTCATCTATGGAGCACTCATTTATATACCAAGCATTAAGTGCTTAGTATTATCAGTGCTTACCACCAGTCTCTATAACTCTCCATATAAAGTAGGCCACAGATGTGGTAAGGTAATCAGAGTTTATGTGTAAAATAAGTTAAAGCTAACTATACCATAACTTCCACATTTTTATGAGTTCATTTTATTTCCTTCTAACAACAAGTTAAGGACCACTTGCAGATATGTTTTAGACAAGTAGTTAAAAGACATGAACCCTTATTACTATCACGGCTAGTAGCCCACTGTCCAGAATTGGGTCAAATCAGATAAGGAGCTCTTCCAGAAACACCAATACCATAGTCAGTCTTCTATTTATCTAGATGTGATATGAGTATAGGATGATAAGCAAGATATTGAAAAAAGTGAAAATTGAAGTTTGGGGAATAAGGGTGTGTAGGAGCTGTTTTCTCATTAAATCGTATAGGTAGCATACAATAGAGATAAGTAAATCAATTGAACATAACTAAAAAAATGCAAGCAAGCAAATAATTACTTAAATTCAAGAGATATTCATGAAGTCAGCTTTGCCTTAGAATCTATTAAATGCTTAGAGATCTCTATTGGGACTGAGATTCTATTACAAATCATTTTAGGAATTATTTGATCTATGTATAGTTATATGTAAACAGGTATTTTAAGTCCATGTGTTTGTTTAGGGGGCTGGAGCGATAGCTCAGCTGGTGGGGCATTTGCCTTGCACACAGTGGACCGGAATTTGATTCCTCCGCCCGTCTCAGAGCCCAGCAAGCTACTGAGAGTATCCTAGCCCTCACGGCACAGCCTGGCAAGCTCTCCATGGCATATTCAATATGCCAAGCACAGTAATGACAAGTCTCACCATGGAGACATTACTGGTTCCCGCTCAAGCAAACTGATGAACAACAGGAGGACAGTGCTACAGTGCTACAGTGTTTGTTTAAGTCCCAAACATTCAAAGTTGACAGCACTTTTCTATCAATAAATACTATCATTCAATGCTTATTAAATAAATTCAAGTTTATCAGTATTTAATAGCAATATTATTTGCTTTCTGTCAGGCACAAATGTATGGATTGTGCACACAAGTGTACTATATATATACATATATATCTGCGTGCACATACATACACACACACACATACACACACACACACACACACACACACACACAAAAGCTCCAAAGGTTGATATTCTCTCATTTTAAAGAATAAAGAAATGGAGACACAAATTATCCTTCCTTTGTCATTGAAGTGAGAGAGCTGGTGACTGCAGAATAAGAACTTGAACCCTACTCACACTCAGGTGCCTATTTGAACCCTGGACTTAACTGTTGAATGTGAAGGATGCACAGAGACAGTTAATTTTTAATCCTCTTCCACGTATTCATAGTGTGAAAGTTCACTATGTGAAATTTCTCACAAAGTGAGAAAATACTCTTCGCTACTAAACATTTACCTTTACCCTTTCTTTTACTCAATTTTTCATCAAAAAAATGTTTATAGTCTCCCCTCCCTTCCAAGTAAATAAAACCTTTCTCTTAACAACTGTTGTTGTTGTTGATTTTACTGAGATGTCATTTGCCATTGAAATCTTTTCCTTGGTTTCCCATTTCCATTAAAATAGACAAGTGAAAAGAAATGGTGGCTATAAAAGTGAGTAACAAAAATGTAAAAAGAGAACAAAGTGATCAAAAAGGAACGGAGTCTAATATTAAACACCCTAAAAGGGAATGTATGTGAAAATGCTCTGTTTAGTGCACTTATTTCACATAGGGGATAATTTGCAGTCAAATAATAAAACATAGGTCTAGTTATAATTTGATATGAACAAATAATTATTATATCTATCTAGACTTTTTAATAGGAAAACAAAATCATGTAAAGAGTACTCATCATTAAGCATGAAACTATGTCCATGGCCTTTTACACATTAGGTGCTACATGTTATGCAGATGCAGGTTATTTGACAATGATGAGCTTCTATTGTGGCAAGATATCTTTTATTCTGAGGAGCTGAGAAATGCAGTAGTCTCTAATTGAAATCACCCAGATTGTCCCATTCCTCTGTGTAACCCTAAATCAAACAATATTAGAAGTCTGGTATTTATGAATTCCTTCAAAAGCTAAAGAATGAAAGCAAACCTACTGTTTATTGGTCAAAGAGGTGATATGGTGATATGGTTCCTTAGCAACCAAAGTTTGTCTTTCAGGAACTAGGAGTTAGGGAACTGAAAATGAAACCCTTTGGGCAGTTCTAAGGCTGCATTTCAAAAGCAGTCCTAGTCCTTACAAATTAGACAGTTGAGTCAAAAAAAGCTCCTTCCAGTGGGCAGATCACTGAAACTTTGCATAATACAAGTTTCTAGGATACCAACAGCACCAAAGACCAAGAATAAAAGTTATCTATTTCTTCTATAGCGAGGATCTTCAATATCTTGGACTGGAACCACAACTCACTCACAGCCTCCTGCGCTCAAGCCCACTCTTCTGATCCTGAGCTTAGCACCTCTGGGAGTCTGGGTGGGCATGGGGGTGCAAACACGCCCCTGGAGGCAGCATTTGAATCTTCTACCCCAGAACACACTCCCTTCCCCTGGGGAGGGTGTGTTAGGGGAGCGGAGGTTCAAGCTGCTTACAGCAAGAGTTGTGGAGGTGCGGGGGTGGGGGGGGGGAGGTCGGTAAAACGCCCAGGTGATCCCTGCAAGTCCCCATCCTTGAATACTGACTGTCAGGAAACAAGAATCAAGGAAGTCTTGAAAAGAGTTTTTAGCAAATATTTACCGGATATTTTGCAGAAATAGGGCTGCAGTCTCTTACACTCAGTTTCTTAGATAATTCACAGGTGCTTTTGCTGAGACCAGCTGGATTTCATTTTCAGAGACCCCCGGGCCCGGACTCCCTCTGATGGATCGCAGAGAGCCTCAAAGTCGGCTTGGGGCCCCCTAGCAGGGGGTTGAATACTTACAGCGTCGGCGGGGTGTGCTCGTTGCTGGCGTCCGGGCCCTGCTCCAAGCCCCGGCTGGGTCGCTGCAACGGGCCCGGTTCCCTGAGACCCCCAGAGGGGTCCCTGGCGGGCTGCGGGGCTGGGGCGCGGAGCCCGGAGCCCAACGTCCTACTGCGGGAGTACATGGAGCAGAGCCGCCGCTGCAGGTCAGTCTCGAGATGCGATTCTCAAGAGCAGGGGCAGCGGTTTTAACAGCTGAGTTTCGATTTCCCGGGCTACCAGCAGCCCTCTCCCGCAGAGGATTTCCCCTCCCCTATCTCCCGCCCCTTGACCTTTGCACAGGTCACGGCACCCCACCCCCTAATCCACGCCCCCTCCCCCAGTTCCCCCATTTCTTACCTAGTTTGACTTGATACCTGCAAGTATCGATTTGGTTTGGAGAACAAGGAAGCTAAGTATGGTCCGGTCCCTGGCGGGCAAGGGACCCTGGTGAGTAGATTCCGAAAGATACCTTAGGGGGCTGTTTAGCAGGTAACCCCAGTTTGAGGTCCCTGCTGGATAGTTGAGACTGAACAATATATTCATCTTCAGAGTCTGGAGATTAGGTCTATATTTCAGATCACCTAGACATCAACAACAGAAGTTGCAGTTAATGTGATTTCTGCAGCTTCTTTCCATTGAGAGGAAATGGAAAGTGAAGTCAAAATTGAAAGAAAAAACAACCGGGGAAGCAAGATGGGTGTATGGGAGACTCATTCTCCAGGCAGCCGAGTCAAGTCATTGATTAGTGTCAGGAAATAGTCATCAAATACATTTGTTGTGGAAGAGTCAACTCTCTAGCGTTGATTTCACACACACATGGTCCTATATCTGTCGGTCTGGGGATGAGTCCTGGCATCCACATCTTTTTGAAATCTTTATAATCCTGATGTGTGCTCTGTTGCTCTCCAACATTGTGCAGGCTTTACCAAAGTGAAAGAAGCTTCCTCCTTCCCCACATAACCTGCCTTCAGGGAAACACATACTAATGCCACCAAAACACATGTGAAACAATAAGAGCATGTGTAATGCCTTGTAGATATTCAGACTAAGGATTAGCCCTTTAAACTAATTCAATGAAAGGGAAGATTTGAGAGGTAACCCACAAGCCAGGAAGAAGACACAGTAGCTGAAGCCTTGTGGTTTAAAAAGGTACCCAGCTCTAGGTGGGTTGTAGGTAGAGGCTAAGTGGGATGTATAGCTGTAGAGCCCAGCCCTAGTCAAGGATCCACGAAGATGCTTGGTTACTTTAGTCATAGTATCCTCCTTAGAAGAGAGAAATGAATGCATGTTTAAGAGCTCATCAAAGAATGGGGCTGCATAGAATGGGAAAGAAAATTTACTCAATAACCATCTGATAAGGGATTAATATCCAAGATCTACAGGACAATAGTAGAATTGTATAAGAAAAAACTCTCCAACCCCATCAAAAAATGGGGCAATGAAATGAACAGAAGTTTCCTCAAAAATGAAATACAAATGGCCAAAGGGCACAAGAAAAAGTGCTCCACTTCGCTAGCCATCAGGGAGATGCAAATCTAAACAACAATGAGATATCATCTCACGCCACAGAGACCAGCACACATTCAAAAGAACAAAGCAACCAGTGCTGGTATGGATGTGGAGAAAAAGAATGCTCTTTCACTGTTGGTGGGAATGCCCACTAGTCCAGCCTTTCTGGAAAACAATATGGACAGTCCTTCAAAAACTAGAAATTGAGCTTCCACATGACCCCACAATACCACTACTCAGAATATATCCCGAGGATGGAAAAAAGCACAGTAGAAATGACATCTGTACCTATATGTTTATTGTGGCACTGCTCACAATAGCCAAAATCTGGAAACAACCCAAGTGCCTTAGAACAGATGACTGGTTAAAAATCTTTGGTGCATCTACACAACAGAATACTATGCAGCTGTTAGGAGAGATGGAGTCATGAACTTTGCTTATAAGTGGATAGACATGGAGAGTATCATGCTAAGTGAAATGAGTCAGAAAGAGAGGGACAGACATAGAAGGACTTCACTCATTTGTGGAGTATAAAACAACGTAACATGAACTGACACCTAAGGATAGTAGATGGGCCAGGACGATTGCTCCATAGCTAGAAGCCTGACTCATGAGCAAAGGAGAGAAGGCAGCTGAAATAGAGAAGGGATCACTAAGAAAATGATGGCCTGAGGAACCAGTCAGGATGGGAGAGATGTGTGCAGAAAGTAGATAAAGGACCAAACATGATGACCTCTCAGTGTCTGTATTGCAAACCATAATGCCCAAAAGTAGAGAGAGAGTATGGGAAATATTGTCTGTCATGGAGACAGGGGGAGGGTGGGAAAGGGAGGGCATATCAAGGATATTGGTGGTGGGGAATGTACACTGGTGGAGGGATGGGTGTTTGATCATTGTGTGACTGTAACCCAAATATGAAAGCTTGTAACTATCTCATGGTGATTCAATAAAATTAAAAAAAAAAAAAAAAGAAGGGTTGAAGGGCTGCAGAGGAGTAGGAGAAGGTAAAGGCTAGGGACGTGACAGAAAGGAAATCAGAGTTTTTCTAATGCCTTTTATTTGTTGGTCAGAGATTCACACACTCCAGTGAGCATCTGACACACCTTATGGAGGTAGCAGAAACAGACTTCTGAATCCTAATCCCTGAGTTTATGATTTAGTAGATCTGGTGTCCTACTAGGTTGGGGTTCAGGGATCTGCAGCTGAAAAAGCTGCCAGGTAATACCAATGCTTCCAGTCCTAGAACCACCTTCAGAGGCACAGGAGGTTCTACAACAGGTCACTTGTGTCATATCTATTAGAGAACACTAGCTCTGCTACCTATGGGGAAGGGGGGTGAAACCTTGAGCCTGAAATAAGGAAGCTAGAAGAAGAGCCAAGTTATTATAACCTCAGTAGGAAATACAGATCTGGGCCAAACAGCAAAGGAAATAGAAAACAGGAGACACACCAAGACACTTCAAATGAAAGGTCTTTTGGCCTAAACAAATGACTTAATAACATGTTGTTAGAAAAAACAGCAAATTAATACAGTTAGATGCAACTATAAGGGAATAGCACAGGCTCAGAGAAAAGGAGAGAGTCTTTTACTGTACTAATTTTCCATTAAATCCAAAATTAGAGACTTCCTTTGAAACTTCGCAGGAAGTCAAAATGTATGCAGTGAATTTCACTTCCCTGTCCATGGACCATTGAAAATCTATAGATAAGAAAAGGTTGCAAACAATTACCCCTCTTCTGTGTGGAAACTAATTTGAGCCTTTCAAGACCCAGAAAGTAAATCATTCCCCCCCCCAAAAAAAGCTTAAAATAAATATAAGCTTTAAAATAATACTTAGTCAAGCACTTATGACCCACCCTGTATGAAAAGAGTTCCTGGGGGACTCACTTAAGAAGGCCACTTGCAACTCTCTGCTCTGAAAGCACAGGCCCCGTAAAGAAGCAGATGCAGAGCTTTGCTAAGCCCTCTTTGGATTTAAGTTGGTGAAAACAGATATGAATATACGTCTTTCATAAAGTGAATGCCCTAACGGGAAGTCTTGAAAAAACAGGAATACCTATACTTTGACACCCACCTCTGATACCTATGATTCAAATGACCAAGCACCAATCTCAATGTTTCAGAGGCCCAATATGGAACCAGTTAACAGTACACAATACCGAAATCAGTTAGCAGTACCGACCTTCTGGGGTATTATGAGGAACAGAAAGGCATCCTGTATCAAGGGTTATCAGTGGTAGCTGATATTCACCTCCAATAGACATTTGACAATGCCAGGAGATTTTTTTCTATTGTAAGGCAGTCCTAGATGGGGGAGGGAAAGAGGCTACTGGCAGCTATTTAGTACATGTCAGAACAGGAGGCATCTAGCCACATCTAGTAAGCATTGTTTGAGATTATCTAAAGGATGCTACTAAGTGCCCTACAATGCACAAAAGACAGTTATCCAAAGAGTTACCCACCCCCCACCAAAAATATCAGTCATGCTGAGGTGGAAAAATCCTGATCTACACAATTAGCCTAGTCTAAAGACTCCGTAGTTTAATATGTGCTCCTTTCATGGAGACTCTCAGGCCTTGCCAGTGGAGAGATGGCAAAAGCATTAACCAGGAGAAGGGATACGTTTTGAAAGAAGGTGAGAGTTTGATAGGAAATCTACAGGGTGTCTGGTCTAAGTTTAGTGTACAGTGCATCATGGTTGTCTTTCCACAGATTAGCTTCTCCAAAATCTGTTCTGCTGGGAAAACACCACTGAAACATTTATTGCAAAGGAGGAAGCAACCAGTTTAGTGGTGGATTAAGTTAATAAATCTAAGAAAGGTAAAACTCAAGGAAGGGGAAAACCAGTTCTCCTAAAAGAGCTAATATTGCTAACACTGTCTTCAGGAATATATTTAATTTAGCATTTTTATTTTACAATAGGTAAGAGATCAAAGTTTCAAACAGACATAAATCAAAGTTCTAAATATGAAATGAAAATAGAGAATGAGAAGCAAAATCTAGATTTCTTATTCTTCTCATTGTGTGACATTCTCAAAGTGTTAGTGTACTTGAGAGTGGGATATCTATCCACTTACGTGGCATCCACTCTGTGTTTATACTTGTGTGGAAATATGGGCTGATCTTTCACCAGGTTGTTCTGGGAGCATGCCTCTCAAAGGTTCATTTTGAAAATGGTTTTCTTTTCAACTATGACTGCCTTTGGGAAATCATCATTCATTGCTTTAAGCAATTGAGTATAAAGGAACTCATTCCTTTAAACTGAGCAAAAGGCATCTTGGTTGAAGGAGAGGGTATCTGAGTGAATTGGAAAGAAGAATTCAAAAAGATGCACAAAAGAATGTTTTAAAATAAGAAGTTGATGAGAAATGGCAATTTAGGACTTCCACGAGCAATTTTTACTAGTCCACTAAGCTGAGATAACAGATAAAAGGCAGGGCTTGGTCTTCAACCTGTTCTCTCTGAACATGTATGTTGCTCTACTTTTCTTTGCTGCCTGCATTCCCTCTTGAATACATTTTTGTTATTTATTTTTTCTCACATCTTTTTAAGTAAGTTTCAGTAAAAAGAATACCCTGCTTCACTTAAATGAAACAAAAAGCTAAAAGACAACTAGAGACATAGCTCCATGATAGAATATGCATCTTATATGTGTGAGATCCTGAGTTCAAAAACTGGTACTGCACACACACACACACATACACACACACACACACACACACA